GGTTAAAATCAAGTAGATCTATAAACATATGAAAATCTTGAAAATGGACAGTGTAGATAACATGTTGTAAAATGCCCTATTTCTTAGACTTAAAATCTTTTTATTTTTCATGATCATACATGTCAATGTCGAGATGATCAATCAAAGGATTTTTCAACATTAAAACAACTTTTTCCGATGGAATTTTGAGGTGCATCCGTAGCTTTACCTTATAAGGTTGCATCCTTATGTAAACTTTCTTCTAGTTTTAAAACATTATTACAGTTTTCTAAAGTCTGCCAACTAAGAATCATAAATGGCACTCATAAGAACGAGAGAATAAAAAAGAGAAAAGTTTATATAGAGCTGAGGCTCTAAACAATCAAATTTGAGCCTACATCAAAAATTGCACTAGAAGAGGTTGTTTTGATGCCGAGATATCTTTAAATTGATTATCTTGACATGAAGATGCATGGACATGAGAAAAAAAATGATCTCAAGTTTTGAAAAGAGTATATTTTGTAACGTTATTTTAGACCGTCAATTTTCAAAATTTTCAAGTTTTCATAAATATGTCAATCTACACTATTTTTTAATCTTTAAACTTTATAAATAAATATGAATATGTATTTTAAGGCTATCACAAATATTTCCATTATTGAAACCATATTTCTTAACACGATTTGAAGGTAGGCTTTAATTTGATTGTTTAGAGCCTAGGCTTTATACAAACGGCACCCAATAAAAACTGATCCAGTAAGAAGAGAAGAAGAAGAAGCATATAGATTTGTGATGAAACAAGTATTTATGTTCCCATCTTGTTTACTACAATGTTCAAAAAGTTACATTTTTGTGACTCCCATCACTTCTGCAGTAATAAACTGTGTATTTCTATTTCTTTTTAACGATCATTTCCAATTCTTCAAGAATTATGTACAAAGTATGTGAATAAAGTAAGAGAATCAAGAGTTGGGGCATCCTCAGTGAATTGAAAAGGCTGAAAGCAAATGAGAAGGAACACAAGGTGAGCTCTTCCATGTCTTGGCATGCATCCTAAGAGCCTCTTTGGCCTTCTCCTTGGCCTTGAAGCTACAGTCCGTTTGAACCACCATACAAAGCTTGGAAACAGCTCCAATATTTAACATCTCCATTAAAACGCCATGGGTTGCGGAATATTTGCAGAGAGACCAAAGTATCTTCACTGCTCTCTCAGTAGCAGTCGTTGAAACCCTGAAAATCTTCTTCGAAACCACAGCAACACCAGCTCCATGTCTAAGTAATTCGGCTCGACCTTCAGCACACCCACAAAGCAAATCAAGAACCCCTAATAATAACTCTCTCTCTCTCCTCTCTGTGCTCTCTATAAGCATCTGTATGATCACAGGCATTGCACCTTCCTCACAAGCCTTGACTCTATTCCTACCCAATGAGCAAACCTCCATTAAAATTTGAAGCACACACTTGGTTGCCTGGCTCGAGACCTGATTATTCATGACTCGAACCATGGCTCGAAAGAGTTCGGGCTTTAGGCTAGTGATAATGGTGGGCTCAACCAGCTTGAGCACAGTCTTTAGGATTGAAACGGAATAAAGCCTCGATCGATAAGACCCGTTGAGTAAAACCCATGATAGAGAATCAATAAAAGCACCATTATCTGAAGCCACAATGCTCTTTACTGTGTCTTCTAAGACCTGCAGAACATGAATTATGCTCAAAGCTTCTTCAATGGTGGCCATGGACTCATCCCCTCTATCTTTTTGTCCCAAAATGAGATGAGCCATGACCGGAATAGCACCCGCACTCCCTATGCGCCTTCTATTCATCTCACTAGCGATGGCAAGATCCCTGAGCTCACGTAGCGAACTCAGTTTGGGATCGTTGAGTCGAGCCACTGCTAAGAGCTGATTGACCCTTTCCAAGCATACAGGTGGCTTCGGTGTCGGGAATCGCTCAATTCCATTTGACGAATTAGCAGTGCACCATGCTTGGATTAATCGCCGAAGAGTGTGGTTTGGTGTGAGCTCTTGGTCTGATAGGGTCTGGTTCGTTACGGGGCAACTTGTGTTCTTGTATGTGTAAATCCATTTCTCCATGCTCTCTCTATCATAGCTTATTCCTGTGCAAACAGTTACTGGGTCTCTCATGATTTGGAGGGAGATAGGGCAAAGGAAATATGGGGGGACTTCTATTGTATCCATGGATGCAAAAAATTAAAGAAATGGAGGAAAAAGAAAGATGGGTTTTTGTTTTAGAGAGAGAAGAACAGTTCTTTTCCGAAGATGAAGCTTGAAACCGTAATCTAGATGTTGGAATTGGAAGAGAAGAAGGTGGGTTTTCCCAGATGAGAAACACAAGGACCCTAACTCAAGAATATTGTCTCTTAGATGTTTAGAGAGATAAAGTGGAGATGAAACTCTAAGAATGAGGTTGGCTAGATGTTTAGAGAGAGAAACTGGACATGTAACTGTAATTCTGGAATTTGGTTGGATTGGATGGAGGTCTTGGGGAAGAGAAGGTAATATATACAACCACACGGGAAAAGCAAGGAGAGAGAAAGTCAAAGCAATAAAAAGTCAAAATGCAAGGTCAGAGAGAAAATGAATGAGAGGTGGCCAGTGCAGCGTTTTTGCTGTGTCCAAGCCTCGTGGATGAATGAATACGTTTCGACTTTTTCATTTATTTTATTGACTTTCGCATGTCGTGTTGTTTGTATAGAGCCGAGGCTCTAAACAATCAAAGTAAAATATACTTTCAAATAGGGTTGAGAAATGTGGTTTCAATTTTGAAAATCTTTGTAATAGCCTTAAAATATATATATTTTTTTAATTATAAACTTTCAAGCTTAAAAAATAATATAGATCGAGCTGATATATGAAAACTTGAAAATTGACCGTCTAAAAATACATTACAAGATTGAACTATTTCTAGATCTTGAAATCTATTTTTTGTTTGTGTTATGTGGAGATGATCAATGTGAGGATTTTTTAGCATCAAAATGACCACTTCTACTAAAATTTGTGAGGATATTTGAGCATCAAAACGACCACTTCTACTAAACTTTTTGAGGTATGCTCAAATTTGGTGGTTTAGAGCCATGGCTCTATCTAAACTTTTTCCTCCTGTTTTTAACATCCACTTTGCCTTTTTTTTACATTTATTTTAGGGTTTGATAGTGGGCTCGGTGTACCTGCCCAACCCTAGCCCTAAAAAAATATAGGGCCCGGTCTACAAAATATGGCTTGACCTGAATCGATTTGTAACTAACAGTCTAAATGTTTTTTTAATATAATTATTATTTTTAATTTTCAATTTTATTTTTCATATTCATGATCTTCATATTAAAGATTATATATTCTCTAAAAATTAGGATCAAATTATATTTAAAATATATATATTTATTGCCAAGCACACATTTCTACAATATGCAGGCTAGCCGTATAGAACCGTGTCTTTTTTTATATAGGATTATATACAAAAAGACCATTTACCTTTTATACATGTGGTCATAATTTCATGCCTACATTTGATGTAAAATTTGATAGTTTGGATTTGTCACAAAATTTGAAAAAATTTCTTTTAAAATTTGAGCTTGGTGAATGGAATAATTGCTGCTACCCGACTTTACGTCTTTAGTCAAAATTAACGTGACCACCTTGTATAAAAGATAAATGATCTCATTTTATATTTCTCCTTTTTAACCCACCTACGGCCGGGGATAAGATATTGGGGTTGGGCTAGGGGGTAGGGTCATTAAGGCCCACCAAAGACCGGGAATAAGAGATTAGGGCCACGAGTGGGCCGGTGCTTAGGCCGCACTTTGTCAGCGCTATTTTATTTTTGTGAGAGAATGAGATACAAGTCACCAAAGATGAGAGAGAAAGAGAGGAGAGGAGAGGAGAGAAGTCTTCAAAAGATTGATGTAACTCAAAAAAAAAAAAAAAAAAATCTTCAAAAGATAGATGTAATTGGGGAAAAAAAAAAAAAAAGTCTTCAAACGATGAGAGAGAGGTATTCAAAGATGAGAGAGAGACTTCAAAGATGACAACTATGGTTGAGTTGGTACATATCGGCAGCGGACAGTTGGGGCCTTTTGACCATACTGGGTCCGGCAGTATTTCGGCAATGTTTCGGCGAACGTGCCGACAACTTTTGGTGGTACTTCACTGACATGGCCCTTTCCATCATTTAAATTATTGGGTCAGTGGCCCGTGGTATGAAATTCGAGCGCTGTCTGCCGAAATGTTGCTGAAATTTCGGTAAAGCTCATCGATTCCGATTTTTAAACGGCCAAGCTCAGCACCCACATCCAAGGTACCCCTAAATTTAGCGATTTCAATGCCAAAGCCAATTCCCAAGATGTCTCGTAATATCGCACGGTTTTTTTTTCTATTTTTAAATGTATACAATAATACTATTTAATTTTTATATAAGAAGGGTTAGAATTGAAATCGGGTGGTTGCAAATGTGTCCTTTTTTGGCACCAAGTCCAAATCAAAAAATTTTGATGTTGTGAGACAAATTCATGATGGAAAAAATTATCTTATATTTTTTTATTCAATTTCAAATGATGTTTATATAGTTTTAGTTTTTAAGGTTTAACTTTAAGGTTATTATTTATGAGTACTGTTCACTGGTATTATTCATAGGGCTAAAACTTTCATTACGAAATTTAAATTTAAATTAAGATATATATATGTTATTTTAATTATTATATGGACATGTAATTTATTTGAATATTAAATTATAATCTATAAGAGATGTGGGAGGCCTTGAGAGGATCAATTCTACATGATATTTTAAAATTAAAAGAGGGAAAAGCTTTAGCTTTTGGCACCTTAGTTTGGGGATTGGAGAAAAAATCCTAGGTCCATTTGAATTGTGCTTGTGTTCGATTTTGATCCTTGCTATTTTTATTGTTCTCTCGAATTTTTCTTCGTCAATTCATTCATTGAATTTCATATCCTATGGCTAAATGTGATTGTAATCTCTTTATATCAAAAATAAATAGTATCATGCTATGCATTTTTTATCTATTTCTATTGAGTAATTAGATACATCTCCTCCAATTGGGAACATTTAAACTTTAAATGACCACCCACCAAAACGACCCCTCTTCCGTAACAAAGGGAGCCAAATAGGCCCTTGTGACTACTGCTTCACTCTATACAATTTTTTTTCAATAAAATAAATGAAATTATATATTACTTTTCAAGAGAAAAAAATCATAATCATCCCTAACAAATAACATGAAATGAGGTGGCTTGGTGTGTCCAAAAGCTTTTTCCTTAAACTTTACAATGTTTTCATAGTTGCCAAAAAAATTCTTCAGCTTTGTTAGTCTTGTAAGTACTCGTAATCGCCAGAATGCACATGATGGTCAAAGTTGATTGTGACCTTCATATCTCTGAAGAAAAAAAATCAAGTAGAAACCACAAAATAACCGTTTTACCTTCTTCTCTAACTTAACCCCTAATATCAAAATTATCTGCATATTCCCCTTGGTCTAAAATCTCAACGCCCCCCTCTCATATTTTTTGAGGATTTTTCTGGCAACTCTGAATGAAAGTTGGATTGATGAATGGGTTGACGATAGTTGCAGAGATGACTAGAGAGAGCAGCATATTGGTTCTTTTATATGGTTAGTGAAAGAAAAAAGAAACCCTGAAGCCTGCTCTTCATCAAACCCTTGAGTGATTTTTCTATATAAATTGGTTGATTTCTCAGTTAAAGATTTTTCTTTTTCTTTTCCTTGGACAAATTTCATCATTTTTATTTTCGTGAAGGGTAAAATCTTAATTTGGCAATAATTCTTAAGTTTGCTTTTACTTGTATGGAGAAGGGCTCTTTTCGCATTAAAAAGACCTAAAAAAAAAATGTGTCCACGTTTTTGTCCAAAAGGTGGTTTGGATTTGGTACGCGTAAAAATATTTTCTTCAAAGTATATCCGCAGAAAAGAATTGTCCATGTGATTAGGCATGGCAGTTTTTCACAATTGGTTTTAGCACATTGTCTACACCAATTGGCAGCAAGTGGTGTGAAAATATTTTTTTATGTACCAAAGAGGCTTTCGTGAGAATGGAATTGGGATGGTAATTCTAGTATCACTTGAGTTCTAACTAAAAATCAAAATCACTGGCCTACATTCTCACAAAAAAACATTCAAAAAACTAAACGCTTTCCGAATCAAATAGGGCATATCATCCTCCCTTTTCTACCAAAAAAAAAAGAGCCCTAGTAACTTTAGCTAGTTTAAGGGGAGATTTTAGGGATTCCCAAATTTTTGTGCATGCTAATATGGCTACCAACAATAACGAAATTTCGGTGGAATGAAAAACAAAGGTTTGGGTACCATGGCTTTGGCTTTGTTTTGTTTGGCGTGTTTATAACGTGCTTTAAACATTTGACAATTCACACGCAGCATGCACGCACAGCTGCCAGCGAGAGAGAGAGACACGCTCTTTCTTTTCATTTCTTGACTTTTAAAAGAACGGTTCCGATTGGGTGTGGGACTAATGGGATCGTCAACTGGACCGTCCGATCAACGAGAAATGTTCAAAGGAGGAGATTCGTGAAGGACGTGGGCAACTAGCACGTGAAATTCATATCAAGGAGCACGTGCTAAATACTACGCTTCCAAAAGTAAGTGCTAAATACTACGGTTCCAAAAGTACGTGCTTCAATACTGCTATGCTTCTCTTCCTCTCTCTCTTGGATAGCAAAAATCCAAAGAGTTGTCGTAGGATGTCTATTGCTCAGTTCGCTAAATTCCGTTGGACAAGAATTATAGACGACCTTAGAACCCTTTGTTCCACGTCATGCTCCTGTTAAGTGTCGGTTTCGATGTACAAGATTTTGTTAGTTTTTTTTATTGAAATAAAAAATATTGTTGTGCGAAGGCAAAAAGTTAATGTTTCTATAGGACCTCACCCGCATAGAAAAAAAATATTAGATTGTTACTTTACAAAAAAAATATGTGATGGTTACTTTACAGCTAAGATCTAAAGAAATAGTTAGGATAGCACCAATCAAAATGTCACTATTTGAAAACAAACTTGGCAACTGGCTCTCACCGATTGTCCTTCCTTACTCATCCCACCTATCACGCACCTCATTCTCTTTCTCCCTCTCCCACGCCATACTTAAATATCTTTTTAATCTCATTATCTCTCTAACCTCTGCATTCATGTTGGTATGTGTAAGTGGCCATGGGGCCTCACATATCTCATATTTTTCTCTCTTATTATTTATCTTAATGTTTTCATAATTATCACTTAAAATGTTTCTTAGAGAGAGAATATGTTTTTATCCAACGGGTAGAAAATAACTATCTATCTCTCAGGATTAGAGGGCCACTTTTCTCAGAGATTCACGAGGAAGCCAAATATTGGAGAACGACATCCTCCATCCTTCTATAACTAAGATTTTCATGGCCAAGGAGAGGCACTTATAGAGAAGTTATTTTTGAGTTCTCAATTGTT